TAAAGCACATATACCATTCCATTCAAAGAAAAGGAAAGTTCACAGGAATTAAATTTTTATAAACATTGCGCATGCTACCTATACGGTTTATAATAGCGATACGCGCATATCGTGGACATATTGTGCGAGAATGGGAAAACGTGTCTGTTTTTTTTGGTTTTGTTATAGGGGTGAGAAGACATGAGCCCCTGAACGCTGGCGTACTGATGGGGGGGGGGGTATATCTATACGATACCAGTGATTTACACATGTTGCTGTTATGACATGATTTTCCGGTATTTTTTCTCCATTTTTTTTTAAGTCATACCTTTTTATGCGTTTGTTGGAAAATAAGATTCCCAAATTACAGTCGGGCGAAAAATACGCTTATTTAGAAGCCTTTATGACATGGTCTGCAAAGTGGCTGGGCTCGAGCCCCTCCCCCCTCACTTTTTGAAAAAGTATGTTAAAGAGAAAAAGAAAGAAAGACGGAGAGAAAAAATAAGTGACCTGCCAATGTCACAAAAAGGCATAAAAAATGCTCATCTGACCGTAATTAATGCCTAAAACCCCAGAGCTTACGGGTGCTCCGCCCCCGACCCCACCAGGGCCCTAAGGCGGTCCCTGGATGCTCATCTGACCGTAATTAAATACCTAAAACCCCTGAGCTTCCGGGGGCTCTGCCCCCTGGACCCCACCAAGGGCTCTAAGGCGGGCCCCTGGATGCTCATCTGACCGTAATTAAATACCTAAAACCCCTGAGCTTCCCGGGGCTCTGCCCCCTGGACCCCACCAAGGGCCCTATAAGCGGGCCCCTGGATGCTCATCTGACCATTATTAAATACCTAAAACCCCTGAGCTTCCGGGGGCTCTGCCCCCTGGACCCCACCAAGGGCCCTATAAGGCGGGCCCCTGGATGCTCATCTGACCATTATTCAATACCTAAAACCCCTGAGCTTCCGGGGGCCCTGCCCCCTGGACCCCACCAAGGGCCCTATAAGGCGGGCCCCTGGATGCTCATCTGACCATTATTAAATACCTAAAACCCCTGAGCTTCCGGGGGCTCTGCCCCCTGGACCCCACCAAGGGCCCTATAAGGCGGGCCCCTGGATGCTCATCTGACCATTATTCAATACCTAAAACCCCTGAGCTTCCGGGGGCCCTGCCCCCTGGACCCCACCAAGTGCCCTAGGGCGGCCCCTGGTTGCTCATCTGACCGTAGTTAAATATTAAAACCTCTGTTAAATACCTAAAATCCCTGAGCTTCCGGGGGCTCAGCCCCTTGACCCCTGCCGAGGCTGGACCCCACGCCAATTTACGCTCTACCTGATCGTTAATACTTCACTTTGAAAAACGTTCCGCGGGACCTGCATGTAACGTGTAAGACTGGTGGTGATGCAGATTTTTCGTCTGCCCCCCCCCCCCCCTTCCGAACGTTTTTTCTCATTACGTCACTGCCCTCGGAAGGTGAGCCCCCTGGAATGTTTGCCCCCCCAATCCCAAACTGCTTCCGGCGCGCCTGTCTTTCTGTGTATAGTGCTTGTAACTTTACGAAGAATGGGCCAATTTCTTATCATTTTGATGATTCAAGAACCTTGCAGATGCTAGATGCTAGATGATCAACCTTTTCTGATCGATTCCACAACGTTTCTTTCACAATGCAATCGCTTGACCATAACTGGTCTTTACCTTTAATTAAAGAGCGTGTTTTATGGATCGATCCAACGTCTGTTGCTTGGTTTCAAAAATAGAATATTACAGCATAAAATATTGAAGGCTCATATAATTCCAATAATTTCAGCACTTGAATAAAATGCAACATATCATCAAATAAATCGATGTTTGATATCAATGTCATCAACGAGTTTTCGTGGATCTGCGTACTTGAGTCTTCTAAGAAATGTTATCAATTCAGTGTTTGTTCTCCTCGGTATCATAATTATCTTAAACAAAATCTCATTAGATAGTTTGTTAACCTTGCTTGGTTAATTCTTTATCGATTGATTGATGGTGATTGATTGCTTGCGAGTAGTGATTAATCGATTGATTGATTGGTTGTTTGAATAATTATTTGGGTGATTGATTGATTGATTGTTCGATTAATGGATTTTTTTTTGTATTGATAGATTGATTTATTAGTTGTTTGATGATTATGATTGATGAATGATTGATTTGTGATTGATTGTGATTAATTGAATGTATTGATTTGATTGATTGTTAATTGATATTGATTTAAAAAAATTGAATTTAAAAATTGATTGATTGGTGTAGTATTGATTATTATTGATTATTGATTGATTATTATTCGATTAATTTGATCGGTTGTTTGATGAAAAGATTGATTGATTAGTTGTTTTACTGATTAACTGATCATCGGCAGATCGTGCGTAAAACTCCCATATAATGTAAAGCACTGAGTTTACCGTAATTTGAAAGGACTTCGTGTTTTTTCAAATAATTTTGTGGTTCCCATGCACTTTCTCTCGATTGTCTGCTATAATACAAACTCACATACAGGTAATCCTAAAGGCGCGTCGCAAAGAGCTAGAGAACCAATCAATAGATTATTGGTTTAGACATGTGGATAATATGGTTTATGAAAATCAAAAACATGAGAAAATGGAAATTACCTCCGTATTTTTAGCAGTGGCGGATCCAGGGGGGGGGGCCCCCGGGGGGCCCGGGGGGCCCGGGGCCCGGCCCCCTCCCCCCTTGAGAAAAAATCATGTAAAATCACGTGATTTTTTACCTTTTTTGGGGGGTTGGGCCCCCCCCCCTGGCGCTCAAGGGGGGGGGGGGTGCAAATTGAAATTTTTTTGAGGATCAAAAAAAAAAAAAATGTGCTCACTACCCCCCCCCCCCCCACTGAGCGACTTTTTTCGGCTGGTTGAGTCGGTGCGATTTTTTTTTTTGGGACTCCAAAAAAAAAAAAAAAAAGTGTCCGCTTACCCCCCCCCCCCCCCCCCCCCCCCCCCCCCCCCCCCCCCCCCCCCCCTGACTGAGCGACTTTTCGGCCGGCGCGATTTTCAAATTTTCGGGAGCAAAAAAAAAAAAAGTTGGGCCCCCTCCCCTAAGAAATCCTGGATCCGCGCCTGATTTTTAGAGCTAGCGAAGCGTGTTTGTTGGTTTCACATGTAGGTAAGAAAATACAAGAAATAATTGTTATCATTCTACTAAGGATTGTTTTGTTTCATACCCAGATACTTACTATGACAATGTACGATTAAAGGCACATAGTCATTTGTGTGCATAATTTCTTAATTCTACCCTCTCCCCCCCCCCCCCCCTCCCCCCTCTCTCTCTCTTTCTCTCTCTCTCTCTGTTTATGGGATACCCTCTCACCCTCTTTCTCGCATTTCCACAAATATCCCTTCATGTTCTTCACTGCACCCAACCACTAATGAAAAAACATTTTCTCGTCTTCGACCTTTTTTTCTCTCTCCTTTCTCCACCTCCATGGCAATCAAGATGCATCATCCTTCACCAAGATCAATCCAGATACAAATGATATTCGTTGGGAATATAACACTGTAGCAGATGAATAAAGTCACGGCTGATGGGGGGGGGGATACCCCGTGTTGAAAACAAATATAAATAATTAAAAAGCTAGAGAAGAGAAAAGGTGAACGGGAGAAGGCGAAAATGACGAGAAAGTAAGACACATGTACCACCTCCCGCATTCTCCCCCCCCCTGAAAAATTGCCTTTTAAATTCGCATTCACTTTTTGAGTGGGACCGGCGACACCCCCCCCCCCCCCCCCACTCCTTTCAGTCGCTCACTGCATGTCCGTCATGATTGATGATTTAGTCTGAAATTACATTCGTTTGTGCTGGTATATTAAACGAGCAAGAATAGTACTCAGTACTATAGCCATAGTATTCCATTGTTATTTTAATACGCCTTTTTTTGTAATCCATGGTTACAATTTCTAGAAAAAAACAAGAAAGCTCCATTGTGCATTGGACACTGGTTTTACTCTAGGGTTTACTGTATTTTTTGTTTGGGTTTTTTTTTTAAGCACACTTGAAAACCTAACTCCATCAAATGAACTACCTAGAATGTAGATCAAAAATAGCAATGATCAGTGAAGATTATAATGAATTGTCCTGATTCAGGCAGTAAAGGAAATCCAACCTTAGTATACTTAGTGGCGGATCCAAGGGCGCCCCCCCCCCCCCTGGGAAAAAAACGTGTAAAATCACGTGATTTTTTACCTTTTTGGGGGGTTGGGCGGGAACAAAACAAAAAAGAAAGTTGGGCCCCCTCCCCTATCCTGGATCCGCGCCTGAGTATACTAAACTACTCTAAAAGGAGGCAGAAAAACTAGAGAAGCAGATTGGTGAAAGTTTGAACGGCATCAGATCAAGAATGTTACGAATTTTGAAAGTTGTAATTAGTATATTATGTAGGGGCACTTCAAATTGGCCGAATCGGCAGTGTCACTGTGACGAAGCGTTGGGCAACTTACCCATTCGTTCCAACACACAGAATTACTAAAATGTCAACAACAAAAATTAAAATGTAAGACTCGGGAGGGTCTTTCGTTTGTAGAAAACCTTTAATGATGTGCTACCTACAATATATTTCGAGAAGTGCTCCAAGGGAGAAATTCATAAATTTGTGATATTTTTGTACACGACAAACGGGAGAGTATAGTCCATGAATAAATCCAAACTACTGAATCCAGTGACCGAACCGCATAGATTTGTATAGTTATTTCATATTCCTAATAACATATATCTTTCTTATTATTGGTCCGATTTACTTTCACAATTTTGTTTCTCTTATTTTTCCGCTTTTACTTAAATGAAATAATTGCAAGGATTGTATTGCCGAGTCTTAAATAATGCTTTCCCTGTGGGCACTGCTATTATTTAGACCTCAATTATTGCCAGATATCAAGATGTGATGTGGATCGAGAGTCAAGGGCCACGGGGCTAGCTCCCTTCAATGGTAATAAGGTAATATTCCAATCTTATTGTTAACAAAATCATAGAAATAAATCAATGAGATGTCTTACCAGCCACCATTTCCCGATCTCCTCCGACATTTTCTTGTTCTCCTTCATCCATACGGGGAGGAGTGAGTCGTTATACTTCTCGTCGAACCATTCCGACGTCCCCTTCTTCCACAGCCTCCGACATCGCTGACCACCGGCCGCTGTCGTCGTCGAGTTCAGCTCGATGCCGATACGGGCTCGGGTCGTGTAAGACGTCCTATGATCGTTAGATTCGAGTGTTGAGTGACTCGAGTCCCTCTTTGACGGGCCTCCCGACTCATAGACCGATGGATCCGCTAGCCTAACCTACAATAGACCGAAGACGAGGACCGAGGATACTACTGTTACAGCTTTCAATGTTGCCCTAGCCATTTTTTGCGAATGCAACCCGGACGATTCTAGTTGTGCAATTAAAACGATTTCTCCTCTTCCTTCTTCGTGTTATTATTAAAATCAATATTTTCAACCTCTTTTTCTAGCGCACTTCGTTAACAATTATCCATCTTCGATTTATAGGTGATTGAATTCACAGAGGTCAATTTTTAACTAACCGCCATACTTAATGATTAATTTTCACAAATTTATATAGTCGGCAGCAGCATACTTCCAATAGGTTTTGGAGCAAAACGCTTGATTCAGCTTCCAAAATGTTCGTCGTTAATTATTTTGTCTTGTGAAGACTTGATCAGTACCCCATATATTGAGAATCGTTGAAGGATTATATGCCGCTCTGTTCTGCAACAAGATGGCAAGACGGTACAGACAGCACAATTAACGATATTTTCGGATGTATATAGTATAGTGTAGAGGTAATCTGTAATTAAATGTGTGTTGGCACATTAAAAGAACACGAAAATTACTCATTAACTAACATCGATAACTATGTATTGATTCACCGAGTCTATCGTCGCCCAGTATGTGAAGAAGAATTCAGAAGGTCCGGGATGAAATATATAAGAATACCACTAGCGGATGCTTGAACAAAAAAATCAAATCGAGGAAATGTCTTCAGCCGACATATAGTTGACCAGCTAAATCAACACACATCGTGACGCCATCCGAGGTAAAAATGCAATCAGGGATTCCGCTAACCATGTACGATATCTTGCCTTGAATATTTTATGAAGAAAAATCTGCCCTTTCAGTCAGGGTTGATTGAATATTAGACAGAAGAGTGTGAACGTTCTGAAGATGATACCAAATTAAAGATTTCATACATCACCGTATTCAATTTAACAGAGACGCATGCGTGTCAGCGACGTTAATAAATGCCTGGAGTATACTTTGTATACATGTACTTTGCATAGACGACTTGGTGAACGAGACAGACGATGAGAGCAAGACAGAATCACGTTTCACACCGCATCTTCGTCCATTGCGCGCCTCCCTCGTTCATTTGCGGCTTCCTTCGGTGATGGTGCGAAGTCTCTGCTCACCGTGTGTTCGTCTAACCACACTGGGGAAAATTCATTGCATGTCAAGACTCGAGTCCGCTATATATAATAATGCGTAGCCGAGCGTCTGACAGAGAACTTGATATTCATTTAAATCGTTGTCAGTGTTTGGAGCGGGGGCAGACGTACGTGCATGCATACAGCGACTGGTCGCATCTCATTACTAATGCATGCACGATGTATCTCCTTGCTGATAATGAAGCAAGCCCCCAGGCTCGCAAAGTATTCCATTGGGGATGAAGGATGCATGCAATCAATAAAGATATACGCGCATATATAGAGTATAGTCCCACTACGTATTATACAAAATTGCAGCATACGAGATGATGGGGAGATAGGGGAGGTTGTATATGATATAATCCCATTGTTTTTCATTTCGAGTTATCATTTGCACGTATTTTTTTTTACAGAAAAGACGTTTTGCAATATTTTTTTTATTTTTAAGACAGAGTCAACATCTTGTATATGGATTTTCCTTTTTTTCACAGTCATGTCATGACACTGTTTTCTACAAGCTCACCATTTCTCCAGAATCAAAGCGGCATGCAATGATTCAAATTCAAGAAATTCAAGCAATTAAACGGATTCAAATTTGAATAAAGTGATATCTCCAAACCGACACGCCTCTCTATTACATTTAGCACGTTTGCTCTCCACAAAATCTTACCAAAAATGATAAAGGCATTGCCTAAGTTTAACATGGGAGTCGCTTGATGAAAACATGATGGGTCAGAGTGGAGTTTGTTGACCGCGCTTGTGATCGGGCGGTGTAAATAAAGATGTACACGACAACCGTGTACATCAAGCAGATATTAAAACAGATTCATATTTGAATAAAGTGATATCTCCAAATGAATCGCGACACGCCTCCTTTATTACAATCAGCATGTTTGCTCTCCACAAATATCTTACCAACAAAATGATGTAGGCATAGCCTAAGTCTAACATGAGAGTCGCTTAAAGGGATTGGGTAACTTTGTCTCAGATTCTAAAACAAAATCCTGGATTTAGCTCATGCTGTAATGATAATTATAACCTTTAGGTCAGTCAGGAAGCCCATGACTTTTACAAGCCGGTCGCCTGTCTGATAATCAAGATATTTATGATCGGTAATCGAAATCAAATTTTGCGTTTTCCTAACGGTTTTCATAACACTACAGTCTATTGGGGAAACGAGTATAGTAAAAACCGGTCATTCAAAGATTTTTACTTATTGAGGTACTTCTTGATCATTTTGAAGCGCTATTTTTTTTTTTTTTTTTTTGGGGGGGGGGGCTTCAATATTACACCATATCACAGACACTGATAACACGTAGGGCCGTGCATCTCATATTTAACGATGCCTTTAATGTACATAATTATGACGGGTCAAAGTGCAGCTTGTTGACCGCACTATCTTGTGATCGGATGTAAATAAAGATGTACACGACAAACAGGAGGATCTCAAAAATAATTTACTACGACAAATATCATAAACGAGTGACATGGGTGAAAATCCCGGGGATGGAAAGGGATGCATGGGGATACACTACAAGATTCCCCTCTTACAAATCTGTGTATGAAGAATATGACAATGACAAGGAAATTTAACCTTTCCCCTTAATTAAATAGGCCTATTCAACCACACATGCTATCGAACTGTTCTTAATTTTGCCTGTACCTTTGGCGACACCCTTCAAATTTGGCTTTTAATTTTAATTTTTTAATGGAATTAAGTGATTTTATTGGTCATACATTATAAACATGTATTTTTATTTTGTTTTAGTTTTTGAGTAGTGCAGATGAACTTGAATTGGATGGGCACGTGGAAATTCTAAATTTGAATTGAATTGAATTGATGTATACTATACCGTGCCAAGAGAACGTTAGTCATGAATAATAACCATCACTTGATTTAATTTGAATCCCAGCAGGTTGACTCTAGCACCTCCATGATCCCAGCATGAATACAGGAAACACATTTTTTCTCAGACATTAATTACTAATGTTTTTTTTTTTTTTACATTATACTTTTATTGTTATTGCAGGTACACTGCATGTGTGCTTGTCTCCCCCCCCCCCCCCTAAACAAAAAAGTCGGCTGTTTTATATGTACCATATTTCATCCTTTCACCATGCTTGTATTGACTTTTATCACATAATAGGACATTTGTAATTGTTGTATTTTTGATAATTTGTGCAATGTGTTAATGGTTTTTAGTTACAGAATCCAAGTCATATTTTGCATAGTGCTAATTTTTAAAAAACATGTTTATACCTTTAAACGTGTTATCTATTGTGCCTATCATGTACATGTGAACATGAATAATCCAGCCATGGCTGTATTCGTGTAAAATTTAGTTTGTATGAACCATGTTTGTGCTATAATAAAAAAACATTTTTGAATTGAATTGAATTGAAATGAATTGAATCCACACGAGATGGACTAATAACCTCAATTGGACATTTTAGCATGTTCCGAGTTACGAGGACCACAGTTGGAGCGGTGCGCTGTACGTGTAAACTATGACCTACATGATTGGCATGGCACCAGTGTCATGGTTGTATTAAAGAGCAACAATGGCGAATAATTAGTGCTAAAATGCAGCAACAATCATCGCTGAGATTGCTTTGGGGACATAAAGCCAGATAAAATATGATCGACACAATAATATTGTCTTGAAAACATTTAGAAAACATTGAAAATAGAATGAATAAGACATTAAAAAATGAAATTGTGGCAGCCGAGGATGAGGAATGTTATTTGACTTCGACAAACTTGGATGCGAAATGATTAAATTGATTGGACAAAGTTTTAACAAAATTAATGACCAAAGGCGAAAATGACTATGAAATGTGCAAGATTAGGAAGTGTCGGGACAAATTTTATTAAAAAGTATAAATTGATGATGGCTATACCCTGGCTAAAGAAGACCAAGCAGGCATCTCACCACGATGCTACCACGATGCTTGTACGATAATGACGTTCCCACTACGTTTCTTAATTAGACTTTGCTCTGCTTATTGTTGGCCACGAACCGGCTACGCTTATTTTGTGCACGTTCAAAATAAGCGTGGGGAGAGCTTGCAACTTCCTGACCGAGATCCCATCCAAACCACGCTCATGGGGATCCTCCCACGTTTGGCCCGCGATTTGCGCCGATTTACCACGTTCTCGGCCACTTTTCCATCGTAGTAGAAGCGGCGTCTATGTATGACCGGGGTATAAGTGAACACAACAAATTCATATGCATTGTTGGCAAGTTTCATGACATGACATGGCGTTGTGCATTAAACTTTATGCGAGGGTAGAAAAGTGAGGCCTGTACATACTGTACACACTATACAAGCCCTAAAGGTTGACATCTCACTCCACCCGCCCCCCCCCCCCCCCCTCCCCTTAGTTTTGACATTGAGTAGCTGTTGTAGAATTTTCATCAGTATCGTTGAATTTATAGAAATTATGATTCATGTAATTTATTATGTAGATTATACGTATCGAGGTGTGCTTTTAATTCTTTAGACGAACAATTTTATATATGTAGTGATATAATTCAAACGATGTTTAATCATGATATAAAGAATATCCATTCTTCTTGTGCTACCATGCAGTGTATTAACCTCTAAGCTTAAAGCTCCCCCTTCATATTTAGCTCAATATTAAAGTATCGCATTCAGTCTGGTTTCTAAGTAAAACTTCCAACCACCCTGCCCCTTTCAACCCTCTCATTATTGAAGCCTGCAGGCAACGAGGAAATTAATAGTTTGTGTTTCACATACATAATTGGCTACATGACTTTTACAAAAGCCCCAAAGCCCCATGCACAGTTTCAAGTCATTCATTTGCACTAACCAAACTGCACCGTTGTCACTTGCAATGTTACATCTCCAAATTATGCACACAATAGATCGATTTCACCTTCATCCGGGCCACTCAAGTCAAGTGCACTATAATTTATTATAACTGCATCGAAATAATGTTTGAATATTGTAGTGCCTCAGTCACACTGCCAAACTGACTCCAGATCGACTTTATTTTTTGCCATAGGGGTCATGGAATTTCTTTGGTCGCCTGGTGTCGGCCTTGTCGGTGAGACTCGGGTATAAGCTTTGCAAGAGCAGCATATATTATATGTTGTGGTGTACATGTATGTGTATGCATGGTGGATGCCTGCCTGTGTTGTCCTTGGATGCATGGTACTAATTAGTGGATTACTGTTTTGTATTCTCTTCATTAATTCAGAATGATAGATTACAGTGCCATAATTAAAAGCAATTAATATTCCCCTCAAAGATTTTAATGTGCATGGTGCAAAGCAAAATGATTAAAAGGACTAAAATGTGTGAGGAAAGAAATTGCAGCATTCCATGTATACTTCTCAAGCAATTTTAATTATTAGAAAATACAGATCCAAATCCAGAAATCATATTAGTGTCGGAAGTTAATTAAAGAAATGGATTCGGACAATTTGCCTCTGGAATTAAATGAGTGGACTTGTAATTTTATGAATATTTGACATCATTTGACCCTGATTTGAATAATATTTATTGATACGTTTCTCATCCATTCACGTTTTTGCGATTCTCATTATGTTACCTTTGATCTCTTTCGTGAAGGTTTTAACCCATTTCGTCACTGCAATTCCTTTAATACAAATTAATTTGCAACCGGCTAAAGCTTATCATAACAAGAGATGGAAAAACTGTGCCCAGCACCAAATTGTTTCTATGAGGGTTTTTTTTTTATTTGGCACCCCAAAATGGGCTGTAATCCTGTTATAATAATACTGTAAATATACCCAAATCTGAAATACTTTTAACCAGTTTCATAAAAAGACCATATTCTAAACATATTATATTTAGTCAAATGAACTATTCAACATTTTTGGGACTTCGAAGGAACATTCAAAGTTTTTAGTACATCAAGAAATCCAATAAAATTGTTTTACTTAGAAACAAGACAACATGTCATTTTATAGCTTTTACAATATGCAATCAAGCACTAAAGAATATATCAATGCACAATTTAACCGCTCAAAAAAGTTGAGTAGTACCATTGAGCTTTAATATTTCTGGTTACATAATCCATATAGTACTCTGTGTTATTTATGTTTTACATTTTATATTCAGTTAATGATGTATTTTGCAAATTTCATATTTAGTGTTAACTGTTCATGTCTAGCAATTATTTTGCATCTAATATTTTAGTAGCAAATGCTGTGACTTATGGTATTTATTTCTCTATTTCTCTTTCTTTTCCTTTTTAATATGGACCAGAAACGGACAAAGGGGCGCCTGGACGGTTACGCTTGAATGATTTCGGAAAACGAAAAGTCACGTGACCTTGATCGAATGCCGGAGATTATTCCTAAGTCTGAAATGAATCGGAATGGAGGAAGGGACCTGAATAGGGCTCACAAGCACTACTTGCAAAACGAATGCGATTTTGAAAAAATAAGATTAAGAAGAAGACGAAGAATTCAGAATGCGTACAAAAACAAGGCATTGACACAAGTTGACAATGCAAAGTAGAAGAAGAAAAAGAAAAAAAAAAAGAGAAAGAAGAAACCGAATTCCCCATCTGATTCAGATGCAGTTTTGCCTTAATTGAGGCTCAAAATTAGGTACAAACATTAAATTAATATGGAGAAAGAGAAAGAGAGAGAGAGAGAGAGAGAGAGAGAGAGAGAGAGAGAGAGAGAGGGGGATCTAAACTAAGGATGATGTCAGTACAGTATCTTCATCACCATCCTCATCATCCAACAAAAATCTGGGACACGCTCTTCTTGTGCTCATCTTATTAACCTCCCACTTCTAACTCCACGCTCTTCAGATGGTGAAGTGTTGGTGCGTGATGGCGCAATAACACTTTGGGTGTTGGCTGAGATTAAAAAGCGTTATTGTCCTTCCGGGTTTTTCTCACCATAACAAGTTCTCATCTCTTTGCATTGGAATATCATCCTAACTAGGGGCCTGGGGGGCGTTTCACAAAACTTGTCATCAGTGACAAATGACTGTTTTTGTTATAAGCTACTGAAATCCTTGCTTCTGATTGGTTATCAGCAGATTTGTCACTGATTTTTGTCATTTGTCATTGAAGCTACTGACGGGTCCCTGATCATGGAGGCGAAGAAGATACATACAGTCGCCCCCCCCCCCCCATGCACCTCCTTATCTCCTAAGATTTCAAAATATTCATCTTTGTCACCCTTTCCTCGTATTTTCAAATCGACTCAACTTGTTAACTCCTTTTTCTCACCCTTCTTTCCTCCCTCCTCTTGTTCCATCACTCTTCTTGCAACCCGACTTAATTTCCCCATCGAACTTCATTGCAAAATTAATTAGGTCTGAAGTGAGAGTCCATATTTGGGTGTTTTTTTTTGTTTTTTTTTTTTTGGGGGGGGGGGGGTTGGAGGTATTTTAAAGGCTATGTCATTGTTTTGTGTTTTAATATGGGGAAGGGGTAATTACGATAAGATTTATTCCTTCAAAATAACTGTTGTGTATATGTTGTACTCTATATGTTATGTAATGCAATTTGAAATAACTTGTATGATGTACATGACTGTATTGAATGTCAATAAAGAATACTACAAAACAAAAATTATGTTATACTATTGTTATATTGATACAATGTTGTAAACATGTTTGTACTCTCATATCCCGAGAGGGTTTCGATAGAGTCAATAAGATCTTACAATCTTACATGATAATGATGCGATCCCTTTGCGCGCGCATCGTATGCTAGCGAGCCTCATCATCATCATAACCATCGACATCGTACCGTACAGTACAGAGCTTGGTATCCAAGGCCGTAGCTAGGCATGTGCATGACGTTGCTACCCAAGTCCTCTAGAGCTCTCTATCTGCACCGCATCTCATTACCAATCAACCACTTACCACCGATAAAACCTAGGCCTACTCAGTTTGTACATACAGCGCGCGTGTCTCTAATCACACGAACAAAATGTCTCCCAGAGCCGGAGCCTCAAGCCTGTTTACATTTGCTAAACGGGAACGGTGATGCAGATGCAGGGAGGAGATTGATTTTCTTTTGCTCATCGTGACTTATCAAAAATTCTTGAGAAACGACAGCGAATCATTTGCATCGAGACCGGTTGGGATTGTATGGGATTGTATATGTTATTGCACGTAGATGTTGGACTGAAAATGTACACTGAAACAGTCTGAAGCCATTATTAACGCTACTCTTTACGCCAGCCTGATGAACGTGAGCATTACCAATATGTGATGTCATCGGTTTTGGATATTCGGGAAGAATATTTAATATTTGGTAAGAATATGGGATGATGTTGATGTTGGATTTGTTACGCCAATTCCTCCTGAAGTTGAATCTCTCTTTTCTTTACCCAGTTACCTTACCTCGAATCCGTATTGAGTTGCGATAATTGATAAACATGATGAGCAATTGTGAGTTGTATATAAATGGCTCATCTTGTGGAAATGTATCATTTTTTTCCTTAGAAGAGACAAGAGTGTTGATAATGATTTGGTGATGATAGTGGTGATGATGATAACAATGATGATGATGGTGGTTATGGTGGTTATTAATGATGAAAATATTGATGAGGAGGATGCTGGTGATGCCTAATAGTTGGTGATGATGATGCATGATCATGAAGATGATAACCAAACCCACACAAGTGATAATATTTTATAAAAATAGTATCGTTGTAAAGGTAGTCATCTTTACTTTTGTGTTTATCTATATTTTTGGCATTTAAAAAAGGCCTTCATTTTTATCACTGTATGCACTTTTCATACATACATGAAAATTATACACCATATTATCATTTCTAATTAATTGATACATATAATTACACGTCCCGTTGCCTGTAAAGATCAGTATATGCCTGTTTAGTTATATATATGGTTATATTATTTCATAATCAATATTTATTTAAGTATTGCTTTCTCTGTAATCATCATCATCATCATCATCATCATCATCATCATCATTATCATCATCAACATTCTTCAATTATGCCTGACATGAACATGATTATCATGGTTCCACTGTAGTAGACTTTCACTTTTGTACATCTTGTGTTTCATATTAAATCATCATTCTCATTTTAATGACCTTGTGATTTTTGTAGTTTCCATTAAAGCTCAATTTTTTAGATTTCACAGTTTAACTGTCATTGCTTTAGTTTGATCAATAAATGAACAGCCTATTCAATCTCCGGCTTATCAGGTGAGCAAATGGGTATAATCTAAAGTGAGATTTTGTGGCCAAAAATTATTGCCTTCACATTCAATGTAAAGACACACAGCTTTACAAGCTTGCTTTCATGTAGGTCCCATCATATTTCTTTCAGTTAAATCAGTACTCTATATTGACCACTTATCTTTATGTTATGTATTATTGATTGTTATTTTATCACACACAAAACAAACATTAAACTTGTACTTTATTTTTAAATGTATATGTAACATGAGAAATACGAAAGTAAATGAAATCAAATTTACATCATCCTTTGTATATGATGTAAATGGGTACCTGGCACAAATTAATTCCTTGAATTGCTGGAGCGCTGTAATGGCAGCTAGGCTAAAGCCGGGGTAATAATTAATGCGCCTCGGAATAGAATTTCTAGACAGACGGCGCTATAGAAATGCCTACGATTATTATTATCTGTCTTGCTTCTTTAGATTTGGCAAAGCATTTTCCTTCATCATCATAACCATCATCCATCTCCTCCACCATGCCGAGAGGAAAGAAACCTGACGGCCTGGAGATGAATAATCTCCAGCTGAAGCCAGGCGAGACGAGCCCTCGATCCCCTCTGACCCCGACGATCAAACTCTCGCGACCTCCCAGCAGCAGCATCGAGCGCAAATCCAGCCTGTCCTACATGTTCGTCAATGCAAACGAGGAAGCAGACTTGGTTAATGGTGGGTTCATCACCAACGACAAAGTGTCAAACAATCAGCAGCATCAGCATCAGAATGGAAATGGAGGTAAGTTGGACCCTTGATGCACTCTTTGGGGAAAATGAAGATTGATTTTGAAGTAGAATTATGTTCTGGCATACATTTCAATTATTTTTCATTGGGCAGTGCAACAAAGTTACTTGCTTATATATTCTTAATAATTGCATTGACCTCATTTTTTATTTTAAATAAAGTATCTATGACTTATTGTCTTTCTATTTATTATCTGTCTGTCACTCATCTTTATATTTTCTATCTCTTTTCTCAGTATTCTTTTCTATTTTCTGTACACTTTGTTTTTTTTCTTTTCATCTCTCATATTCATTCCATTTCTCTCATCTCTTACTTTATTTTTTCTTCCCACCACATACTATATCTCTTCCCCCCCCCCCCCTCTCTCTTTCTCTCTCTCTCTCTCTCTCTCTCTATTCTTTCCCAATCCAAACCCCTTTCATATCCATCTCCCCTTATCAGCATAACAATGAATTTGTCAGATAATTTTTTTTTTGTAGTGTTGAGAAGGCAATATCTCCCAGTGTCTCCCCTATGGGACTCTATTCCCTGCCTCATACCCTCTATTTCTGCAACAGATTGAAAACCCTTTTTTTTTGGAGTACGTCTAATACACACATTCACATTGTACATGTGACCAAACTTGAATGTGGTGGACCACTGATTGTTTCATCAGTCGACCAAAGCAGGTAATAAGTTACCTTCTTCCTCTTCTCATCACTCCTCTTTTCTCAAGCTGCTGATGCGAGCCGAGGAGCTAACAGTGCACCGCCCTGCAATGGCCACTCCCCTGTGGAGTCCTGGACTCAGTCTGTGTCACCAGCCAGCAACCACTCCAACGGGGATGTCCACAACAGTCATAATCACAAAAACAAGTATGTTGCAAATTTGCCAAATTTGTTTACATCAATTTACTTGACATGATTGTGTGTTGGGCTTTGATTCTGTACCAGATTTTGAAATAAATACTACTTTAGGGAAAGTATTATATAGATTACTATGTTATTTGAAACTCAAATCTTAATTTTCTTCATTCTGTTTAATAAAAGAGGTACTTACAACAGATTTGTTTTTAAACCTTATTATCATTCCCTTCAATATTTCATGTAAATTATTATAATGGTTTTTATTCTTTGAATTCATGAAACCAACAACTATTCATAATATAAATTACTTTATATTCCCTTTGAAAATGATAGTCTTTTGATGACTTTTATTGTCTTTTGTTTTATTATGATTTTTCATTTGGTTGTTTGTAATGCTCCCTTTTTGCAATTTGTAATGTACTCAAGTGTACGAAAATTGAAATGCTATTAAAAGCAATGAAATTGTTATTATAGCTAAAGTCATATCGTACAAGATATAAACTGTACAGCTGATATTATAATGTATTCCATCAGCTTTTGGTGAACAAGTTTCTCGCTCACCCCATGACCTTGTCAACGACATGATGTGCTTTTAACTTGGCTTTAGGAATGGAGCTTACTCGATATCAAAATGTCTGATGCCTCCAACCAAGAGATCCAAATCCAAGAGACACAGCCTGCCCTTGCCCGGCTTTGTGGAAAGCAGCAGTCTCAAGTCATCAGTGAGTTATCGTTGATTTTCAAATCGCCTGTTTGGAGCCAGAAGGGCCATAACCTTGTGTTTAAACACCCTTCTGACTCCGAACAGATAGTATATCTTCAGAGGATGTTGAAAAGGCCTAACAAAAATTGTTATACTGCCCTTTAGGTGCCAGAACCTGGGTCAGTTGGTCGAATTTCTTTTTTCTTTTTTTTCCCCTCAAAACACTGACCGTCGCCCAAAAAACTAAAAACCGGGAACGTTGCCTAAGATAAGATAAGATAAGATTTTATCCGTCTTTCTTTCAAATGACATATGTAACATAACATTGGATCATTACACGTTTACAATGCAAAATAACAAATTATGGCAATGATAAAAACAAAGTTAGCTAAAAGAAACACGAGGAGACCCTGGTAAAAGCAGAGCAGAGATCTAAATCTAAATCTCTAATACTAAAGTAAATATTTAGATGTGATCTGAATAGAATACAACTTGAGCTATTTTAGTTAGGGGAGCTAAATGCTAAGTAAAATAGAATTATTGAATTGAATACAGGCCGGCCCGAAACAAAACCCTTTCCCTTATCAATTTTCAAACGCCATTTTTTTTTGTAGGATGATGAGGCAGACGCACCACAGCGGATCACACTGGGGAATGGAGGCAGCACCCATAGTGTGAATCTGCTCCCCCACAGCATGCCGTCTCCAACCAAGAGCAACGCATCACCATGGAAACGGTGGTTCAAGAGGAAGCCTTCCAATGCGGGCAGTGAGCAGAGCAGCTTCAGTGATGCAAGCTGGATGAGCAGGTAATGCATTCGGGATCAAGGAGGGTGGTGGTTACTGAATTGCTTGTAGGCTGCTGATGCCACACATAGCTGCATTATAGTATCCTGGCTGTGTATTAAAACCTGTTCTATTGATTCTCAACATTTCAAACACTACTGTACAAAACTCAACTGATTTCACTAACAATCTGTACTTTAGTGACAATTGATAACACCTAAATAGCAGTAAAATAAAAAAAATTCAACTTACCGATGTTAGAAAGAATAATTTGAAAATTCAAATCTTGTGTCTAACATCAAACTTGCTAACAGCCACATTGTCTTCATTGTGTGCATTTGTGTGTTATGTGTGTATTGAATATTCATGTGTGCAATTGCTGCCTATTAGCACGTAGTGCATTGCAATGCATTAGCATATTGACTCTCTATGATTCGCTGGAGTGACTGATGCAATGACTTGATTTTTTTTTTTTTTTTTTTTTTTTAAATTTAAAAAAAAATGGGGGGGGGGGGGAGGGGTGAAAAAGAGGCTTGAAATGTCATTGTTAAATTAAGATACATTGATGATAGTGATCTCAGGGATGGTGATTATGATGACGATGCTGATGGTGAGTTTGATTGAAACTTTGTCAGTGTTTAATAGCATTGGTGATAGATAATTGGGAAAACTATTTCAGATAATATAATTAATATGAAAAAATTATGAAAATAGTATGAGGATGATGATAATATTTTTGTGCTAACATGTGGAAAAACCTCAAATTTGATAAGCAACATCTATCCTTCTTCCATCTCTCTTAATCCCAAAGCGCTGAATACGATGATGCAGACAACAAGAAACCCAAGCTGTGGAATCTTGCCAGGTCCATCACAAAACGAGTTAGCAAACTCAAGAACAACGAAGTGGCACCAATGCCTCAGAACACCTTAGCTCCTCCAGAGCCCACTGCTACTGCAGATGATAGTGAGTTGGTGTATTAATACCCTCATCCTTTTTCTGTGTTTCAGTATTTGCTCCTTTGTCTAAGATTTTGGCTTAGGGAAGGGTTGTGATTGGGTTTTGTCATGTATCGTATTGTATTTATTAATCTACATTGATGTACATCAATATTCATGAATTTGCATCGTATTATTATAAATGCAAATGAACCAGTTGACCTCTGGGTCAGATCGCATGTGCACAGTGTAAGCGTTCACAGAACGACAAATATGGAGTAATAGATCTGGAGTGATTTCTCATATAAGCCTGTGATTATAGGTCAGGATGTGACAGGTTTGGCTTGGATTTTAGGGTAAGAATAAGGGTGAGGGTAAGGATTAGGTATAATACTTTGGTCCAGGCCAAAGTTAAAGTCACTATTTTTAAGAATATGATTTTGCTATGTCAGTCTTGTCAGACAATCCTTGCATGATCAACTTTATAGCTCATAAAGAGTACGACTGCTGTAAAAGAGATGTAAATCATTTTTTTAGACTAGTCTATAGCCAGGTACATGTGAAGTAGTATACAGTTGTTAACAACTTTGAATGCTTTTGCAGATAAATGGCGCTATACAAATGCTGTTCATCATCATCTTCATCATCATCCATACCCTTACCTAGTTTTACAATTTTTCAGTAAAAAGAAAGCTAACATCTACAAGTATTCAAGTAAGGCCCAAATTCAACCAGTCCATCTTTCATTCTTAAGTTATGAAAAACACAAAAAAACATCCAATTCAAATTAGTTGTTAACTGTATATGTGATCGTGTAATTCAATTTATCAATCATTATGATTAAACTGATGGTATGTCACCATCCCCCCCCCCCCCTCTTACCAATCCTCAGGTCTGAAGCCGACCAGCACTCGTAGGCGCCTGGACTCCTTTGCCCCGAGCAGCATCGGAGACGTGGCTGAGGAGATCCATTTCAAGACCAGCAGGTTTGGACTCATCACGAGATGCTGGGAGAGAATCAAATCAGTGAGGTTCCCAGAGTACTTTGACCCTCTCGGTGAGTACATTCCTAGACTGACCTCGTTCTCATATGACAGAGTATAAATTGCCCCCCCCCCCCCTCCCTCCCCCTGTAATTGAATGGCAGATGGAAGTGAAAATAAGAAGGAAAATTGTACATTACAAATGCCCCAAAGCATTTCACATACTTAAGTCATGGGATACAGAAATGGGAAGCCATGATACTACACTTTTTATCGTCTCTTTTTGTTTTGTGTTTTTATTTTAGGTGTTTTGTTTTTCTTTCTCTCTTTTTGAGGTAGCTTAATGTGGGAATGATATGTGACATGTCCACACAAGTAAAGAGCTAAATTAATCGGCCTTTCCTTATGAAATTGGCAACTTTTAAAAAATTCTTCCACCATATTATCATGTATCGCGATAAATTTTACATATTCTCATGCCAGTATGTCTACCCCCTGGGTAGCTTATGTTGGTTGATTACCATGGCATTCCTTTACAACACTGTTGTCATCTTCTTTATGTTCAGGTTCTTATAATGCTTGTTTCATTGAGGAACATGACTGGAGGGAAACAAATAAAATGTAGTCAATCTTTGTAATTATAAACAAAACAGGTTCCCTATATATTATCTGTCTTTCCCCTTAGGTGGCTTATGGTTGTTTTGGCTGAGCGTTGTTACCATGGCGTTCCTCTACAACGCTATCGTCATCTTCCTCCGTGGTGCATTCCAGGAAAAGTACCAGAACAAAAACAACTTAGGCTATTGGCTGACTTGCGACTACCTGTGCGACTTCATCTACATCATAGACATGCTGCTCTTCAGGGCTAGGCTTATGTTCTTTCAGGCTGGTCAGGGCATTGTGAGTTTCTCATATCTTGTTTTACCCAGAGATCTGTATTCTGCTAATTCATTGAAACCCGACCCTTGTCCGAAGATCTCATTTAACAAAGCGAAACATAGACCCCAGACCAACTAACTAAGTTTCTAACGAAATCATTTTAGCAAAATATGGGCCATGAAGTTCTATAGACACTTTAAACCATCCATATTTTGATGCTGAATGTGATATTTGGGGCAAATTAAAGCATATCTTTTGACACATAATTCAAAATAGAATCTTGATCAGTGAAGTGGGAAATCATAAAATTTGTATTCATTTCCAACATGAACTGTGATCAAAGGCTATACAATTGAAAAGTTGTAACTCGAAATTTTATTTTTGATATATTTTTTGCAAATTTATGGGTACTGTTCTATAGAAATAAGTTCATTAATGTAGTCATTTATGCGTTCATTTTTGTAGCCCATCTTATAAAGACCTATGTTTCATTGGGATTGATGGCAAGTCCTTCAGTCAATTGCAACTTTGAAACTCCTATCATTGCAATAAATATCAACCTGTGATTGATTTTAATCTGTTGCATCCGTTTATAAGAAGGGGCACAGGTGCCATTAGCAAACAAAAAAGAGATTGTAAAAGAGAGAGAGAAAGAGAAAAAAAGAAAGAGCGGGACAAAAAAGCAGGCATTCTACAGCAAGCATATTGAGACATTATAATACAGACATACAGGACGGCATTGATACTGAGTGAGAGAGGGAGAGAGAGAGAGAGAGAGAGAGAGAGGGGGGGGGGACAATGAAAGAAAAAGGGAGAGAAAATTATGATAAAAATATTAGCTTGTATATTCAAGGGTAGCAAAATATAACATCTTGTGTAAGTGGTTTTGAATACTGCTGCGTACATGCATAAAGATATCATATTTTGTTTTGCTTTCCCCAGACTGATAAGAGATGCATGTTGACACACTACACATCATCTACACTTTTTAAGGTGAGTAAATTCCTTGATGAAATTGCATAATATATAGACCCGGATAGTAAACTTATGATTATGATTATTTGAGCAATCCACACTCTGCTTCTCAGTGGATCCCTCCATTTTTACAGTTTTTCATGAAACAAACATACACAATTTACTGCAATTGTATTCATTCAATTTAATAATGATTTACAAAATGCATTATATTAATATACATTTATTTGGGGGCATAATTGTTTATATTGATTATTCTGTCAGAAAGAAAAATAAAACTAAAACTGAACTGAAATTAGTGGATCGAAATCGAAAAAATGAAAATGGAACCAAAGGAAATCTCTTTAATAAAATCTACCATAGTAACTGGAAATTGAGCCGTTATTTTTTTTTCTCCGTAATTTAAAACGTTTTATACTTAGAATGTTCATACTTGGAATTAGTTGATTGTAGGACATGTGGGTTAAGTTTGTTTTCCTTAGTCCTCATGCCTTTACCCCTAACAGGGCTGGGAGGGGACAGAATTCACCCACCCTTTCCCAGTGGTGTGTATTTTAAAGTCATGAAACTTTATTGTGTTGCTTTGTTATGAAATTACATCATTCATTCATTTCCAAAAAGCTTCTGACTTCATATTATTCTGTGTACATTTTCTTTCATTTCAGTTTGACTTGTTTTCCCTGCTGCCCTTGGACCTCTTCTACTTCTCACTCAACAAGGTGGAACCACTCCTTAGGCTGCCACGCCTTTTTAAGTTCCATTCCTACTTGGAGTTCTCACAGAAGTTTGAGAACAAGTCCAAGTCAGCCCATGGCATCAGGTATGGACACAGATGTAAAGTGAAACCTGTATATAAAGACTGCTCAAGAGAAACAAGAAAAGTGTTCTGTTAGTATATGTTTCAATGAGAAATCACTTTCAAGGGAACCAAAAAATGTGGTCTTTATAGACAGGTGGTTGCTAAAGCAGGATTGACTGTATAAGGCAATCAAAGTGGGATTGATATTAATATTTTTTGTTTTATGAGATTACATACTTTTTGTTGATATTCAGAAACATACATGACGAAAGAGCCCCTTTTATGATGTTGTTCACACTTTGAATAATTACTCTATTTGCAGGATTAGTAAATGGAAGAAACTCAGATTTGACTCTGAAAAGTTCAACATTTTTTTTTTAAAGCTGCAGAATTAGTAAATGGAGTACAGTAATTGAAACTCAAATGGACTCTTAAAGGTTCAAGAAATTTTGTATGAAGCTGCAGAGTCAGTAATTGGAATACAGTAATTTTAACTCAAATTTTCAGTCTTTTAGCTTGAATTTGTTTGAAAGGATCATGTCAATTTTCAATGCTCAGAAGATCAAAGTATTCAATGCTGAAGGTGCTGAAATGAAAGAAAGTAACCAGGATTAAGAATAAGTTCTGTGACACATCTTAAATTATTTACAATTTCAACGTTTTTAGATTAATCATGGAATAAAAATTATTGATTGTTGTAAAGTGCATAGAGAATTTATTAGTATGCGCTATATAAAAATGACTTTATGAATATTGTTCAGACACTTTCTCAGACATGTAGTGGTGAGCTGATGTTGAATTTAGCCGACCATGCAACACTCCCCAGAAGAAGCCATTTTGGCGATTGTCACATCATAGAATGTAAATCGCAATAATCTTACCGTCTCTCCTCAGGATATTTCGTATGGTCATGTACCTACTGTACATGATCCACCTGAATACCTGCCTCTACTATGCCATCCTGTTTTGGGAAGGGATACGACAAGACGATATAGCAATGGCGAACGACTACTGGGTCTACCTGGATCCAAAAGTAGATGTGTAAGTTTTACATTTAGAATACTACATCAGGGGGGGGGGGCAGTGTACTTGAGACTGCACTCTGACAGGATTTTTCCATGCTGCGGTTGGAATTTAAGATGAGATTAGGGTTCCAGCTATTCTGGGAATAGTGGAATATCTGGAGTTTCCTTTTTCAAGTCAGGGAACTTGAGAAAATCACCCGATCAGGGAAAAAATTGCAGAATTTCAGCCATAGAAAATAGTTCAGTCTCTTATACTTTGTCCTGTTTCCAGACTGTGTAATATCCCTCTTCGAGTAGTCCTGGAATTTTGAAACTCCATGATGGAAAATCGGGGAAAAGTCAGGAAATTCTCTTTCCAGTGAAATGCTAATGATGAAAGTCACCAGATCAGGGAAAAATCGCAGAATTTCATTCGTAGAAAATAGTTCAGTCTCTTACACTTTGTCCTGTTTCTAGACTGTGTACTTACTATGGTGGAATGTTGGTGTGTAATATCCCTCTACGAGTAGTCCTGGAATTTCGAAACTCCATGATGGAAAAATCAAGGAAAAGTCAGGAAATTCTCTTTCCAGTGAAATGCTACAAACGCTGCTCACGATCTACTGAAGATGTGAACTCTCTTAGCAAGAAAATATTTGTTTACTCTTTGTATCCGATCAGAGATAAGTTAATTTCGGACCTCAATCCTGGAGGGCGTTTCACAAAACTTGTCATCGGTGACAAATGACAGTTTTTGTTATAAGCTACTGAAATCATTGCTTCTGATTGGTTATCTGCAGATTTGTCACTGATTTTAGTCATTTGTCATTGACAAAAGGCTTTGTGAAACGGGTCCCTGGTGCTTCCTTTGTGTGGTAGCAGCGGTGGGATACATTTAGTACATTCAGTAAATTTCCAACTGGGGTCGATATTTCTCATCTACAGTAGATCATACTGGTATGTCATGTAATAGAATATAATGATGATAGTATTGTCACATAAAATATGATAGGCCTATCACTGTACATTCTTTTATGATGCATATCACATTATGAACTGTATGTCTCTATGTACTTCAGAAGTTCTTTTTAAATACTTATTTAGCTCCAGAAATCATACAGCAAACAATGCAGAATGACTAATTTTTTACGAAAAAAGGAAATACAAAGACAAAAAAAACTAATACAAACATAAAATATAACCCAAAAAACAAAAATTACGTCACATCAAGGCAGTATCAATATATTACAAATGTAAAAGCTTGAAATTCTTTATCCGAAATGCTTCAAACAACATTTGTAGGTTGAGAGTTCCTTAGACGGAAAGCAGTTGGAACGGAACCTCTTCCGAGGATACATGTTTAATAACAGGCAAATAGCTGACAAATTGTTACTTTATTGTGCCGTATATCCAGGTATACAAAATGCTTATTCCGGTCGGCGAAGACGCTCATTGTTATCGGCAATCTGCCCCCACCAAATACCAACTCCCAGATCATCTTCATGAACATTGACTTCATAGTGGGCGTGTTCGTCTTTGCCTCCATGATTGGTCAGGTAAGACAGCCAATAAGAGTTCATGAAGGAAGAATAGGACAATGTTTAATTAGTGTAAATGTGAAATATATATTTCCATGCTGTATAATATGTAATTTTGTTATAGGAGTAAACAGCACTTGAATGATAAGAAATTGTACGTAAATGTAGATGTTGCTTCTGGATCACAAAGCATGTTGCTTGATTGTTTCGTACAAGTTTTGGAAGAAATACATAATGTGATTTTTTATTATGTCAATTAGTGAAGAATAGTTGAACCTTGTATTAGTAATGGTATTTATTTCATGTTGATAGTAATGAATATGGCATTACCTGCTGGTAAGTAATAGTAATAAAGGTGAACACGTAATGTTGTACAGAACAAGGATAATTTATTAATTGATCATCAGGACTGATGTGTGACAGTGTCGTTAAGAGAGCTAATTTATTTCGGTTCTAGTGAGTATTCAGTGGTGGTCATTATAACAGTTCTAATAGTTCTGCGTGAAAAGTAGAATTCAGATAATGCACGTGGTCCTTCCAGAACTCGTCCAGTGGTGATACAACTTTAGAAGAGCTGCCATGTTTATTTTTCATAATGTTGTTATACCTTTTTGTCAGATGAGGGACATTTCAGCCAAGGCCGGAGCTACCAAGGATCAGTTCCGCCGCCAGATGGATGACACCATGAGCCTCCTGCAGGTGTGGAAGATTCCAGAAGCAGTACAGAAGAGAGTCCGCACGTACTACATCTACTCCTGGGATCAAGGAGCTGTATTAGGTCAGTCCTGTACCACTATCACTTGTGCTTGAGTAGTTTAATGAAATGTAGTGGTGTGTGCACAGAAGACCCATTTATCAGTGATATATATATATATGTATATGAATTTAAATATATAACTAGAGACATAACTGAATGACAGTTTCAACATTATTTACCCTCATCAAGGTAGTAGTAGTATGTACTACCGGTTCCTAAAATGGTAATGATATGGGTCTACATAGATGCAATGAATGGGCAATTTTCAGTGCCACTTAATTTTTACGAAGCTACAGTATGCTAACCTCATTTTAGAATGCATTTCCTCATGAGGCAGCACAAAATGTTCAAATATGCGCACTTGCCGCTTTCTCATATATCAGAGATTATCCGTCACAAAATCATCCAAAAGCAGTGCTGCAGCAAAATCCTGTACCAAAGTTGTTGTTTTTTTGTATGCATCTCCATTGAACTTTCACACAAGAGGTGGGCAAGGTAACCACCATTTTACACACCATTAGTATTTTATTGTTTAATATTTACTATTGTCATATTTGTGATACTGCTATTGTTTAGATGAGAGAGATCTTCTACTTGGTGTACCTATCCGTATGCAGACTGACATAGCCATCAATGTTCATATGGATACTCTCAGTCGGGTCTCCCTCTTTCAGGTAATCATGCTATTCCCTGTCGGCTTTCATCTCCTCTTCCATACAATAGTAATCTTTATATATTCTTTTATGGTATTTACTTAGCGTTGTTTCAGTAGGTAAGCCTATTACATTAGGGAGTGTTTCACAAAGATCATAAGTCGAACTTAACTCTGAGTTAGACTTAAACAGTATGGAGAGCCTTTTTGTAGCCTTAAAATGAAATATATTCAAAAGCGAAAATTCAGGTATTTTAGACTTCTAATAAATTCCTGATCAAGAACATAAAAATCTCCTTAATAATGGGAAATAGTAAGGGTTTTAATCCACATTTTATGCCTTTTAAAATAAATTTGACAAAATATTGTCATAGATGCTAACAGCTTTCCCTCATTGTTAAGTCTGACTTAGAGATAAGCTCAACTTAGGATCTTTGTGAAATAGCACCCCCCCCCCTGGTGTACCCATCTACCCACCAAGTCTTGCTAGTCATTATAAGCAAAGGAAGCGACTGTAAGCCTAACATATATGAGTTGTAGGGTAATACTTCTTGAGTAATGCATACCCAAAAAGAAAGGAAAGATAGAGGATCAAGAGTTGACCCAGTTGTCTCCCATACGTAGTCATATGACTTTCCGCCTTTGCCACCACTGCAGGAATCTGTGTGTACTAAGTGCCCTGATTTGGTGTTGGTGCCTTTAACCTAACCTATGGTGAGGATAAATATATGTCCCTTGGCAACTGGATGTTGAAGTAAAAATAAGAAGAAAAAAAGGAGGAAAATAAGCTGAGGGAGTTATAGGTGGCTCACACCTCACTCTGGTAAATGACCAGCCCACAACTATGGTAGAAGAAAGAGGGGCAGACCAACATGGACGTAGACTCATAACATCTCGCAGTGGACGGGAATGTCAGTTGGTCAGCTTATTTGAAAGCTATAAAGACTGAAAGATGTGAAGAACCTGTAACTCAAGGTCCATTTCATTTTCGCCCCAACGGCCTCCAAGCTATGGGACATAGATAAATAGATAGATTTACCTTGCATAAACAATAGCTGTCATGTACCCAGTTTCTTGAAATGACATTTTCCTTTGGTCATAATTCTTACCACATATAGTACTAAATAAGTCTAATTGCTATGGACCATATTTTCACACCATTTTATCCATTCTAATTGAAATGTAAATGTTCATGAAATATCATTAAATTGAAATGTACTCTATGTTTGGACATCTAATAATCCATGGATAGTATTTCTATTTACTTGTGGAAAATAGATTGGTTTAAGGTATCTCTATGGGGTTATTTTTTCAGGGGTGAATCCTAACGAAAAGCTGTTCGTCCTATTTAATCCTGTAATTTGTTTATATCAAAAGCTTGTGGTTCGGAAATTTGTATCTCCTTTCATATGTAATAATTGAAGCAATATTGTTCTTAGATCAATGATTACAAAATCACTATCATGTCACTTTAATTTTCATTGTGGATTCCATCGACATTTTTTCTAGGACTGTGATAAGATGCTGCTCCGTGATCTAGTTCTCAAGCTTCGACCTCTTGTGTACCTGCCGAATGAATACATCTGCCGTAAAGTGAGTCCCAGGTTTCCTTCATACCTGTCCATGTCAATGTCCCAAATTCTTTTTTAAAAGTGTTCAATTAAAAAGATGTTAAAGATGGATTTTTATATTAAAATTTCTATTGAATGAGTAAATGAAAACGGTATACTGAATATTGCATCACTTGTGTTGCCTTCTTTCTACATCCCTAATTTTGATAGTTAACTCGATTGAATATGGTTTCTAAGGCATTGAGCATCTCTACTGCCTCTCTTTCCTCTCTCCATTGCCTAATAACCGACTGTGTGGCAATGTTTACAAAACCTTGTACCTCAGCTGATATATTTTTGGGCAATTTAGGGCAGTTCATGCAGGAGGTTTAATACATTAATGTGATGGGCAGTGTAGTCCCTTTAGATTGTATAAAGTTCAATAAAAATTTCATCTTTGGCTCAATGTGATTCATACAGGGAGCCGTTGGGAAAGAGATGTACATCGTTGTGGATGGAAGTGTTCAAGTCCTTGGAGGGGACAAGAAGGTGCTTGCTACCCTTCAACCTGGCAGTGTGTTTGGTGAAATCAGGTGAAAATCTTTCCAAACCCTAAAAATATATCAAACCCTGAAATACTAGTACATGCACCTCGTTGATCGTTCAGATCTGCAATTTAGAAGGTGTTTTTTCCATGGCTTTTTTTCTGCCTGTCAGTGAGCTGATTTTTAAAGCTACTAAAGCCCTTGTAATGGGAAGTCCCAGGGAACTGGAAAAAATCAGGAGTAAAAAGGTTAATGTTAAGTTGTATTAAACTGGTGGCAGCAGTGGGATACATCAGTCAGTGTTTGTCTTATGCATGCGTTTTCTCTATTGAAGTATTTTAATCGAAGATGTCAGAAAATGTCACTGAGACAGGAGGCGCAATAGCTCAGTCGGTAGAGCAGTGGTCTCATAATCCGGTGACCCGGGTTCGAAACCAAGTCGATGCGCTAGTGCCCTTTGGTAAGGCATTAATCCTCATTACCAGGTCGCTCCCTCGGAGAGGACCTTAAGCCGTCAGTCTTCTGGTTGCTTACTAACAAGCATTTATTGCTTTCTTAGCTGTCAGGTAAAAAAACACCACCATTATTTCTAAATATTCCCTAACTGTAACTCTCTATTTTCCCTTGGATGCTGTAGCCTCCTGAGTGTTGGTCATGGTAATCGTCGTACAGCAGATGTTGCTGCTCCTGGCTTCGCCAATCTCTTTGTGTTGGACAAGAAGGACCTCCAGGAAGTGGTAGTCAACTACCCAGATGCCCAAGAGAGTCTGAAGAGGAAAGCAAGGTAATTTTCATAAGAAACTGTAGCTCTCTTCTTATAGTACTGGTCAACATTAACTGCTTCCTAGGGCTATTTAAAACTAGCCCCAATTTGCTTTACAAGAAAGAGAACTGGTTGTCCAGTATGAAATTCTAAGCCATGTGTTAAAAGCCATTTCTTCTTTTAAAACTTCACTGTACATGTCTAGTACTGATCCTCACATGATTTCTTCTTTAAGACTGTGAGGTGGTCGAGAACTCGAAATCAATGACAGACAGATCCTGTGAGAGGGCCAAGCAAAGAGTCTTTATTAGTAGTAACCAGTAACAGACACATTACATATCACTAATGCCGATAATCATGGAGATCATGCATTCCCCAAAACATGTCATGTTATCAAATATTAAACGAGTAAATTTGCCCTTTAAAAACCAATTGCCACAGTACAATGTAGCTGAAACTCTCAATATTAACACAGGTAAATACCTGACCCAAATACTTAAACAACTAGAAATAACAGTCAATATAAACCTCATATAAAGCAACACATTCATATATTTATCTTCCATACTTTTCTTACTTACAGACAAACTCTAATAATCTCCTGGTCTAACCCTAAACATTGCTCTTACTCCTATTATTCCATCTCAATTTAACATGTAACAATATTCTTTTATAGCAATCTGCAAAATAAGAAATAAGGTTTACAATGATAGAGGGCGCTAGAAACCCTGAAATGGCTACATAGTCAGACAAAGCTCGATCTTCACTGTTTGAAGTGCCATAATTAATATCCCCTCGCTTAGCAACCAAAATACAAACAACATGCAATACTTTTAAACACTCAACTTCTATCATAAGCACTTCTTTTCTATGCTCCCTTCCGTTCTTACTGACCTCATTCCTAAACCAAGACTTATACTCATCACATCAATTAGAGCGTACCCTGGTCCTGGTCCTGGCCCTGGGACCAGGCACAACATTAGCGCGCACGCACTACACCCAATTTTGGTACCGCGCGTTCAACTTATTAGTGTGCATAACCATGTACTACAATGTAAATGCATATAACAAATCAAAGCGCTAAGCATCACACAGTTTAACATTAAATCCTCGTTTCCAATATAATCATATCAACCCACATGATACATCAAAATAACTACTGAAATCGTTCTGACACAATACACATATGTACATAACAAATCTCTAGCATAACAATATTAATATTTACTAAACATAACAGTGGTTCAAGTTTGGTCAACTCACCTGTGAGAGGGCCAAGCAAAGAGTGCCGGCTTGTCTTAGCACTCCGCCCTCTACAGGTCACAGGGTAATTTCCTAACCCTTTACATCCTTCCCCACTTAAAACGTCATCGACCTCGATGACCGAAGGAACAATATTCAAGCCATCAACTACCAACAAACGTATAACACATAATTTAACTTGCCACTAATATAGCACGTGGCGACATAACACCTATATTTAACTGCACCATTACCTGTATCTTTCCACTACACAGCAGTCCCCTTTAAGAGTCATTTTGCAAGCTCGCAAAAACACAGTATACACTATAAATACATATATACAAATATAAAGACATCCCAACATGGCTAATTAAAGGGGGTGGATCGCCAGTTTCCATGTGCAGAAGGCCATAATTCGCTGACACCAGACTTGGTGGAAATACCATTAATGGGGGTACAAATTTGCACACAGCAAACCCATAGTCCAGTCAAGAATTACCCCCTAATCTCTCGGAGAGCTCGAGAGTCTTCGGGCAATTCAAAGCATTACATAAGGTCCAATGGTCATAAAACTCAAGGCTAACCCTGGTGATTGACAACACCTGTTATTGGGTAAACACCCGAACGGTGTCGAATTCCCCATGAGAGCCGACTACTCAGTGACTTTAACTGACTGTTACTAGCGTCGAGACGTCAAACCCAGCATAAGTCGTCTCACCAAAAAGTTATCTCCCAACCTACAACTCAAATAGGAATGCACTAATCATGTTATCTATCGCCATTAAATTCGCACATAATGTCTATAAATCAGCGCTTCATGTCCAAATGTCAACCACGTATCACAAGCGGTAATTAAGTATAATTGAACCTCAATAAAAATGAAGGGGGTGGCCCAATGCTGGACGGATCCATACCAGACCCCAAAACAAGCTTAACAAGTACATAAAAAGGCATGTGTACATGATATACAAAAATTGTATGCAATATCTTATCGCATATCTTTCTTCTTTGCAAATATCAAAAACCAAAAAAAAAAATTGTTGCTAAAAGTCATATCCTGTCTCTAAACAAAAACATAATCCTCTATAACGCTATCAATCAAAACTATAAGACCAAAATATAGCAAAATGACTCAAACTCAATCAGGGGCCCTTGCTATCGGCCTAGCAGTTCGTAGTTCTGACTGATGTTGCTGGACATACGACTTGACGTTTCTCTGACGCCCTGGTTGTCCTTCCCCACTTAGGACCAGACCATGGGGAAGCCTTCCATTTCTCCCGGACATCAAGTAGAAGGGTTCAACACCAGTACTCGCATGGACAGTGCTGTTGTAGGCATATACAAAAGAGGGCAGGTAACGATTCCAGCGTCGCTTCTTGCTCTCAGGCAGAGATCCCAGCATGTTGTGCAGAGTGTGGTTCAGGCGCTCATACTGACCACGAGCTGAAAACACTTCGCGATGTTTCTCCGGAAGACCCTCTAGATCTGTGCGTTCTCCAAGAGACAAACTCGTCCAGTCCACATCAACCGGATTCTCATGATTCTCGACTGACAGTTCATCTTGCTCCGTCTCTCGCACGACTGACGCTTTGCCGCAAAGGGCACCCAGTTGGACAGCCTTTGGGATCACAATCTCATCTTCCTTATTGCGGATTACAATGGGGGATGCCTCCTGATCTTCAAGCACCACTGTCTGACGTGCAGACATCGCAACACTTCCCTCATGTCTGAGACGGGCTGTTTCGTTTCGTGGCGTCTGTTCCACAGGGATCGAAGATGGGGCAATTGGTGGTCCTTCTGATGGCGGCATCCATACCCCTGGGTTGGGCAAAGGTACTGGTAAGGGTCCGGTCTGCTGTACCCAGCCGCCAGGTGGTTGCCCAGGATGAGATGCCCACCCATCGGGATGGGGAAACGGTGGCGGTGCAGATGGTCCCCCTCTCGGTGCCCAACGTCTATATTGCTCTGTATACTGGGGGCCCTGTTCCCTGTCTTGACGAGCCCTGGTATCTTGAAGTCCTTGTCTCTTATGTGGACATTCCCGAGCATAATGTCCCCAACCGCTACAATTGAAGCATTGTACATTCTCTGCATTGCGAGCCAAGGGTGGTTTCAGCGATGTTACTAGGTCGCTAACTGCTCCGACGACTCGATCGGCCAGTTCCTTTACTGCCCGCATCATCTCTACTACATCTGGCCGGTTCGTCTGTGTTTGTAGCTGTGACTGGAAGGCCGTCTGGTGTACTGTTCCTGTGGAACTCTTGAAACGGGCCTCCTCCCGCTGCTCCCTCCTAATGGCAACCTCCCTGAGTTCCCGGAATTGAACTGATGTTCCCCCCTCATACCTATCTTGGAGGGTGTTCCTAAGGTATCGGTCGCCGATTCCCTCGATAAACTGTTCAGCTAGGGTGGCTTCTGGTTCCGAATATAGTCGGCCACTCCAGCTCGTGAGGCGGAGAAAACGGTTTTCAAGGTCCAACGCGAAATCTCTGACGCTTTCTCCTTTTTGCTGCTTCCTCTCCAGGAATAGTCGTTGGAGCTCCCCCACCGGGACATGGTCCGCATACGAGTCCTGAATGTACGAGAGGATATCTGCGATGCCTTTCCCCTCTCTAATTAGCGACTTCACCTCCATCTTCGGTCCATCTTTGAGATAATCTAGGATGAATGCCCCTTGTTGTTGGTCAGGAATGGCGTACTTGGCGAAAGCACTCCTCATGGAGTTGACAAAATCTGCAACCTCTCCTGGCCGGCCTCCAAATGTGGGCAGCTTTCTTTCAGGTGCCATAATAATCTGGGGTGGGGGGCGGGACAGCAACTTTTCCAACTGTTCTTGGACACTATCCCTGTTGTCCTCTTTAGGTTGGAGAAGTGGCCGGTAGACATGACCCCACTCCCCTATTGGATGGATCTTCCCCCCGATAGCAGGTACAACTACCTCCATCCCGTCTGTGTCTAAATACACCAGCCCCTTGGCCTTGGGGAAATTGGTTTGTAATGCTTCTAGGCTAAGGGGCCCATCAATACCCGTCAAAGGAAATTTTAATTTCCTTCCCCCCTCTTCAATCCTAACGTACAAAGCCATATCAGCGAGTATCAACAAAAAAATTAACAAGCTATGTTCCAATTGCATACAAGAACTTTCCTAATATATATCTTAGTCTCAAAAACTTCGATTTAAATCATGAAATATATTCACTTAGAAATTAGTCCTTTAAACTATAACACCTTCCGAAGGATTTCAATATCAATAACCAAGGTACTATCACATGTTCCAAACCGACTTCAAAAAAATAAATCTATTGAATCTAAACATTCTCAAAACTTGACCGACTCTCAAATTTCCAATAACATCAATATCAAGAATAATTAATTACCTTTCCATAAAAGTAATACTCTTCAACCACATCTACTCACTTCAGTTAAAAACATTTTCCCCAATACCTACATGTAGCAATATCAATCTTTAATAAAAACAACTATCTTAAAACTTAAAATACATTCTTAAAGTAAGTTCTCGAAGCAAGTTCTTGAAGCAATGTTCTTTCACCACCTTGCCATGCACATCGTCGTCGCTCTATCACTCATTGCTAAATTATGTTCAATGTGTCCAGGCTAACTATTATCGTTCCACGACTATTATTCAATGAACAGCACTCCTTCTAAAACTATACGAGTTCTTGACGTACATATCTACTTGACTCTTTGCGAGGTCTTCCGGGCATGGTCTTGTCACCCTCGTCGATGATGTTGCTGTTGCACACGCCGCCATCCACTTGGGTTCGAATCCCATCCTTCGGTCGCCAGTTGTGAGGTGGTCGAGAACTCGAAATCAATGACAGACAGATCCTGTGAGAGGGCCAAGCAAAGAGTCTTTATTAGTAGTAACCATGCAGTAACAGACACATTACATATCACTAATGCCGATAATCATGGAGATCATGCATTCCCCAAAACATGTCATGTTATCAAATATTAAACGAGTAAATTTGCCCTTTAAAAACCAATTGCCACAGTACAATGTAGCTGAAACTCTCAATATTAACACAGGTAAATACCTGACCCAAATACTTAAACAACTAGAAATAACAGTCAATATAAACCTCATATAAAGCAACACATTCATATATTTATCTTCCATACTTTTCTTACTTACAGACAAACTCTAATAATCTCCTGGGGGGTGTTTCACAAAGATCCTAAGTAGAACTTAACACTAAGTTGGACTTAAAAATTATGGAAAGCCATTAGCATCCCTGATAACATTTTGTAAAAGTTATTTTAAAAGGCATAAAATGTTGATTCAAATCATTCATATTTTCTATTATCATGGGAGATTCTATGTTCTTGATGTGGAATTTTTAAAATGTCTAAAATACTTGAATTTCTGCTTTTGAATATATTTCATTTTAAGGCTCCAATGGCTGTCCATAATTTTTAAGTCCAACTTAGTGTTAAGTTCTACTTAGGATCTTTGTGAAACACCCCCCTGGTCTAACCCTAAACATTGCTCTTACTCCTATTATTCCATCTCAATTTAACATGTAACAATATTCTTTTATAGCAATCTGCAAAATAAGAAATAAGGTTTACAATGATAGAGGGCGCTAGAAACCCTGAAATGGCTACATAGTCAGACAAAGCTCGATCTTCACTGTTTGAAGTGCCATAATTAATATCCCCTCGCTTAGCAACCAAAATACAAACAACATGCAATACTTTTAAACACTCAACTTCTATCATAAGCACTTCTTTTCTATGCTCCCTTCCGTTCTTACTGACCTCATTCCTAAACCAAGACTTATACTCATCACATCAATTAGAGCGTACCCTGGTCCTGGTCCTGGCCCTGGGACCAGGCACAACATTAGCGCGCACGCACTACACCCAATTTTGGTACCGCGCGTTCAACTTATTAGTGTGCATAACCATGTACTACAATGTAAATGCATATAACAAATCAAAGCGCTAAGCATCACACAGTTTAACATTAAATCCTCGTTTCCAATATAATCATATCAACCCACATGATACATCAAAATAACTACTGAAATCGTTCTGACACAATACACATATGTACATAACAAATCTCTAGCATAACAATATTAATATTTACTAAACATAACAGTGGTTCAAGTTTGGTCAACTCACCTGTGAGAGGGCCAAGCAAAGAGTGCCGGCTTGTCTTAGCACTCCGCCCTCTACAGGTCACAGGGTAATTTCCTAACCCTTTACAAGACAAAACCTTTTTTCTAACTCAGATTAGCTAGTATCACCATGAAACCTCTTCACTTTTTATTGTCTTTAAAATGGCTTCTGAGTAATTACTACATAACAAGTTAGGACTGGATAAAATAGCTTGCCTGCCCCAGGCCACTTGATCACATCTTCACAGCAGATGTGTTGCTCAAATGTATTTATTGCATTTTCTAATAATTGACAGGGAGATCCTGAAACAGAACCAAGCAAGCGATTCAAAGAACAAAAAGAGGCGAGGGAAATCACTGATTGCCGAGTCCATTCTCACCAGGGTAAGTTTACATCATGAAGATATATATTAAAAGAATCATCTGACATGAGCTGCATTTCTAACTCTATTACAGTTTGATTATTTTGACGGTAGTTCACTTCTATTTCAAACCCTGAACATAACTTTATAAAATCCTGTATCAGGATCTCATATTGTAGGGTTTGTCAAAAAAATCCATGTAGGTGCACCCAAAGGCTAGGGGCCCTCTTAAATTCACAATATTAACAATCACTACTCCACTTGTTCAAAGATCCATTTTCAGTACCTCCCAAACTTGAACAAATGGTAGACCCTGTTGTATGTGTATTGATTTCATCTTTGCCCTTCCTCCCGAAAAACACATAGGATCCAGAAACCACGCCAACGTTCTTCAACGCCGTGCTGCAGATCGCTCGCAACAAGCGCATCACTGCCACCATCCTCAAGGGCTCCTTCAACATGAATAATGAAGACGAAGAAGACGAGTCTAGATTCGCCTTCTACTCCTCCAGTGACATCTCTACAGATGAGGAGGGAGAGATTCCTATCAAGAAGAGAAAGCGGCCTAGGTTCCTCAAGAAGAAGGGCCTACTGAAAGGTTGGTGCTTGCATGGACAAATAGGTGCAAAGGATGACTTCCAAACTTCAGTTAAGCCAACAAGGCAGGATGACCAATTTTAAAGAGGGTTTCATTGAGTTGTACAAGGTTTACAGTGCTGTAAAATTGTTAAGATTGTTTAAATAAAGAAAGAGCAGTATCATGCTATTAGGCCTACCTTGTGCAGAAAAGAAGACATTTAGGGCAAGTTTTTTTTATGTTGATTATTTTTTCCTCAATTTGATTGGGATCAGATAATTCGAAATTGATCATCTATCTTTAATTTATAGATGCTCTCAAACTTGGCAGTACTGAAGGAGGAGGAGGAGGCAGCTCTTCAATGGACTGCCCATCAGACAGTGACTGCCTTGAGCCTACGTCTGTGCTCGTTCACCCCATCCCCAAGGAGCAACCCAACATTACCAGTGCCCCTACCCTCCCCAACCAGATCCCAGACACCTTCCCCCTGTCCCTCCCGTACCTTGACCACGCCCTGCCCTCCCCCGGTCTCTCCTCCTCCATGGTAACGGACAATGACCCTCTGGAGGACGACGAAGATGCGCATGACAGTGGGGTGGATGTGCCCCTGGATGGGAGCGCTGGGGCGCTGACAGGGGGCAGCTTTGACTACCCTGGGGAGCCTGATGGACTGGCCCTGGATCCTCCTGGACGGCGCAAGGATGTGAACCCTCCAGACAGACCAGAGGTGAGTGTCAATGAATGCCCCATTCCTACGGTCCATTCCCATTCCCAGTCATAAAAGAACTAAAGTTTCAACTTTGATTGCTGTTTGTGCAACCATTAACCAATGATGATTAAAATAAATAAAAGATAAATTAATTTGGAGAATATCAACCCTTATTCAAGAATCTTCCTCTACATGTATATGAAACTCAAATGCATGAAGAGGTGATCAGTATTTTGATAAATTTCAAGTCACTTTCGAAAGTTTGGAATAGTTTCAAGATTTTTGAAGGGAATCAAATTGAATTTTAAGTAATCATGTTCACTTTGTAACTTTGTCCAAACATGGTTATAATTCGTTTCATTTTATGAGTAATATATATATATATATATATATATATATGTAATGTTGGGAAGTTGCCATGGCATTGGTACAACCTAGGAATTATTGTGCATTTTGTAAATGTTGACCTTTACCGTTCATGAAAAGTAAATTCTTTCTGAAAATACAGGTTGCACCCATCAGGAGTGAGCCTCAGATAGAACTCTCCCATGATGAGGAACAGACACCAAGGGATAATGAAAGCACCACAGCAGAGCAGGATGAAATTGAAGAAATCGATGCAAGCAAAGAAGGACATGGGTCCACCCCATCTCATCGGGAAAGCAGGACTACCACACCCAGCCCCACCAAGACTGCACCACTGAGGCGCAAGACTACACCATCAGAGGAACCCTCTGTACCACTGAGGCGCCAGTCAACACCAGCAGTACCAACAGGGGGTTCACCATTGCAGCAGCCGTGGATGCAGCAGCGCCCGTCACAGATACCGAAGGTGCTGCTTCAGCGCCAGGCGACACCGGCAGCAGAACCCGAACAAGTGTGGTCACCGGCACACCGTGGCAACCCGGAAAAGAGGGATAAAGATTTCAGGGTGAAGATAGAGCATTCCAGCAGTGAGAAAGAAGATGAGGAGGAGGAGGAAGAAACAAAGAGGAGAGTCAGTGAAGATAGTGGGAAAGATGCCAGGAAGGAGGATGTAGATACTACCGAGATGGGCACAAAGGATGAAGTTATTGACATCGAAGAGGAAAAGAAGAGTGATGAGCAACAAGAAGGTATTACTTTGGGCTTTATTTCTTGAAAGATAAGGATAGGGTTAGGGTTGCAAGTGGGGTAAATTATGGAGTAGGGCTAGTGTTTGTTGGGCCATGGATGAAGTTCAAAATTTGGCTACTTTTGGTCATGCAATTGTTTAAGGAGCTTGTTTTGTAAAACCAAATCATACAATATAATGTTTGTGACCTATTCTTTTTCTTTTTTCATCAATTATTATTACCCTAATTACTAATGATGTGAAATGCAATCAGTATGAAATATTGTACTTATGAGCTTACATTAATTTATATGATAGTGTGTAAAAGTTTGATTGTAGCATGTTGTTATTCATATATACCTTGGAAAGTAGGCATTTAAAGTTAAAAACTTATTTGCCTCTCGTTGACATTCGGATGAAGAATCCATATTTTGGCACATGTTTAGTGGCGCTATACAGCAATTGACGAACATGGACAAGCGAAGGACTCCTCTGGGTCAAATTGATCTTTTCTTGACGACCAAAATTTCAACAAATTGGATTTAAAGCTGTTTAGTGAATTGCTCTCCACAACTACAGAGGAAAGGTTGTTCCATTCATTGATACATCTCTGTGAAAATGATCCATGTCTAAGCTTCGAGTAGACTTTCTTCTTAACGATCTTGTATTGATGGCCACGGGTTCTATTATCAGTTGGATGGTCAAAGAAGTACAGACTTAACAATTTATTTCACGTTGTGTATATTATTTTTAACATTGTTTATCTATTTGTATTTTTATTTGTATTTGAAATCTAATCTCAAGTTTTGGTTGCAATAAAAAAAAATATATTAAAAAAATAATAATGTGAGATCAGCTGACAGTCTTATATTTGCAAATTCTTTCCAATTCTAGATCAAGTACCTACCCAAGAGAACGAGGGGTCATCGGTTGACCCTCCTCCACATGATGACAATAAAGCAAGTGGTGCACATTCTAAAAAGACATCCAAGAGGTCATCTGGGGAGTCCAGTCAGCCAAAGGCCTTCAAACCTAACATCCAGTACAACCCTCGGTCCATCTACGCCTCATCAGCACGTACCGACAGGTAAAAAACTAATTCTTTTGCTCCAGGATTCTGATACCACAAATATTTTCCATATCCAATGATTGATAAGGCCTAAAAAAAGATGTTCTATTGCCCTCTGCGACCGACCCCAAAATCTCGAAAAATACGGTCAGCTTTTTAAAAAAGTTTTTTTTTTTACTGTTTACAAAAAAAATGTAATAAAGCATTCAAAACTGAGAAATATCAGCCCAAAGAGAGAGTTTAAAAAAAAAAGATTCCTGACCGACCGACCCATGTTTTGGCACCTAGAGAGCAATTCAACATCTTTTTTTTAAAGCCTGATGGTGAATACATGTCATTAGTACAGAGCTTATTTTTGAAATGAATGTTTTCTATCTGTACTTTGAATTTTGCTGTCCCCAGATTTGAAGCTAGCATAAAGTGTAGACTCAAAAGAAATCACTTCATTCGGAGTATTGATTGATTTGTATAGTATCCAAAGATTTCTTTTAACTGGCATGTTTGTATTTATATCCTGGGTAATGAGTGGCAAATACATTAATGACTAGCCAAATCTATTCCATTATCAAATTTCCTAGATTGCAATGTGATATAGTTTTGTCTATGTACATGTAGGTTTTACATACTAAATAAATACTTTGATTTTGATTTTCAGAAAATTCTTACCAGTATTTGTCAATAATGAATGTAAACATATATTAGCTTGCTTTGGCGATCAAACATTATGTTTGATAAACGTGTTTTATCTCATTTGTATTTTCCCCCTCTCCTTTTCTTTTAATACCTTTTATATGTGTCTATCTATCTTTTCCCTTCTGTCTACCTCATATTTGAATCTCTTTTCCTTCTCTTTCTCTGTTTTCAACGAACCTTCTTGCTCTCTTCCTCTCCCAGACCAAAGTCCAAATCAGGAAGCAAGTCAGGGAAGGGCAAGAAACATAGCCATGGAGATAAGCAGAAGAAGGAGTAACTATATCATCTGTGTGTGCTCCAAATGGAGAAAATATATTGACAATGCATCTGCCTCTGATGTACCTCCAAATAGGGGGAAAGAGATACTGTATAAATTTGTATACAAATTAGAAGTAAAATTGTATAAAAGCTATTGATATTTATGACATAGAATTTGTATCAAATTATTAATTAGATATAAAAAGCAATGTTGATATACATGTAGATGCAGAATTTTGGTTTTCAGAACTGGATTGGGAGACTGGTGTATCTGTTTCTGCAATAAAGCCGATAAGGAAAAGAAAGTTGTTACATATCTGCTATGAGTGGATAACGTAATACAAACATGTTGTGGATCTATTTATCATAGTATTTCGAGACACTTTGAATGAGCAGTACAAGGTATACCTATTTAGGTGCCTAACTGACTAAAAAATCATGAGAAATGAATATAGGAATACAGAGACAGTTATGCTATTGATAAAGTGGTGATTTGAAAATAACGAAAAAGAATTTGTAAATCATTCTTTGATTTGCAAAAAACATCTGCACTTCGAAGAACATAGTTGTTATATTGAAAATCCATCGATTTCATAGCTATTTATTGAAGTTTATATATCTGAAATTGATCAAAAAGTGCAATCGGACAACTTAGGGTCAGTATTAATCATGCCATCTGTAAGACAATGCGCATGCTTTTACCAGTGCAATAACAACTGCGTGCAAAATTCAAGTACATGCATGTTTGCTGTAATTCAGAGCTATATATTTATTTAAATTATATTTATTTGCAATTGTTTGAAGTGTTGTGGAAGTTAATTTATAAGGATTTGTAATTAATTACTTTTGCAATAGTCCCATCCTATGTGGGCAATCGATCAAAGGGTATTCGTGAAATACACAAGTACGGTGTAGGATACTCTTTCGTTCTTGTTCATGTCTTGTTTGTAGTATACTTTATAGATATGGATTGATTCAAACTTATTTTGACTGACTGATCTGCTGCTTTAATATAGTTTTAATATGGATGATCCAATTTGATGCAAGTACATATTGTGTATATGTAAAATGTACCCAAATTATGATTTATTGTTCTTATAAAAAGAAAAGTAATAATTCAATTCTAATAGCGTTATTGACTCTTTGAAAATATAAAAGAACATATACTGGGGAGTCGGTCAGATCTAAACATATTTTGATACTTTCATAGAATGACTTTTGCATGTGTGCAAGCAGAGTTAATGCTTTTTTAGCAGATATACATGTATATATTTTCGAAATGGTTGTGACTGTGTGCTTTATGTGAGAAATCATGTGTTGATGACTTGAAAACATGTATATATGGCACCTTGATGATGTTCTTTTTTCTTGATGATGGCTAGATTTTGTCCAAATATGAGAGCTATTTCTTTGCCCTTTATATGTAAAGTGAAACCTGTATATAAAGACCGCTCTAGGGAAACATGAAAAGTGGTCTTTATAGGCAGGTGGTCTTTATGTACAGGTTCCTTTGATACATGTTTCAATGAGAAACCGTATTTAATTAGGGAAACGAAAAACGTGGTCTTTTATAGACAGGTGGTCTTACTGTACAGGTGGACATGAAAGCAGGTTTGACTGTACTGCCAAATATTGTATATGCCACCTTGAACGCATAGTATATATAAGGATATATGTATATAAATGCATGTACAATGTATATTTGATAAAGATATTGTATATAGTGTTAATTACAGTGGTGATTCAATTCATACTCATTTTTGTCTATTATATTATCATCTCTTTCATGAGATAGTTTGAGAATTGTGATGTACAATAACTTTGATTACAATAATTTTGATTAGAATTCTAGCCTACTACTTTTGCAGTATGAAGAAAAAAGCCAGTGCAGGACTGATTATCATTCTATAAAGGAATGGTAAAAAGAAATATCAACTTTTTTCTGCAGATTTGAATTGATAACTAATACATGGAAAAGGCAAAAGTGTGCGTTATTCATTTCATTCCTTGTAATTTTATTCTTTGTATCAAATTGAATTGATGTTTCAGGGTGCTCTATTGAAATCTGAATGCTCTGTGGAATAACTTGTCTGGTTATATGTCAGAATTCACATGAAAATTTAAATTTTTCATGAATTTATTGATCCATTAGTTTGTGTGTGATATATATGTTTCTCTGTATTTCTTTGTGTCTATGTAGAGATGTTGTGGTCTAGTGGATAAGCCTCTGGACTGTGAACCACAAGGTAGGAGGTTTGAATCCCTGCTGCATCATTAACATCCTTTGGCAAGACTTTAATCAATATTTGCCACACTCCACCCAGGTGAGGTAAAGGGATACCGAACCTGGCAGGAACTTATTCCTTAAAATGCTAGAGTGGCGTAGAGCAACCACGCTAATAATTGTGGATGGCTTGGAGTTTCAAGTCTGGCAGACATTATCGCACATCAAGAACTCACCATTCTTTTTCCTTTTATTATCATTATCTTTATCCAACAATTCGTGCAATTTACTTTTGTCTAAAGTACAATTAGATACAAGGGATGAATAATCATTGCAATGTCATGCCTTCCTGCTCTAAATTCATAATAATTGTATGCATGTATAGCCAATGAACTTACAATTACATACAGGTATGAATATGTGAATCGGAATTCATTTTCATTGTCAATATTTGTAAGCATTCTAAACAACTTTGTGTGATATTTTGAACCTAAATAGTGCAATAAAGTGCCATAGCTCTCCTGCTATCTAACTTTGTGTCATGTCGAGTGTAACTCTTACAATGTGAAGTAAAACAAAAGAAAGGTGCATGCTGAGATTCATTTTATAGATTTTTTTTTTATTGTTTAATCCACTTGTAATATAAAATATCTCTATACACGTTGAAAGATTTAAAATTGATCGTCATACATTATAACATTTGTATTCATTTATGATAATTCAATTGGATTGATAGGAAATTATACATCTACACATCAAAAACTACACTCATCAAATCACCAAGAACATCAAAATTGAGGTTTTAAAAATATATCTTTATATCGTTAGTATGAAGAGTATATTTCAGTAAAAACGTGTCATTTAAAAATTAAAAAGCTTATTTCCTCCAAAAGAGCTCGGGTATTATCACTCCTTTGTGACATTATTCTGGAAATGACTTGTACGATTCCCTGATTTCCAAGCAATGTCATGTCACAAACCTGAAAAGCTCTCCGCCAATTACGATTAATAAGAGAAGAGCTTGATATGACGTACACCATTACCCACAATCCATGGGCAACACATATGTGCAATTGGTAAATATTGATAACGTATACACCTGGGCAAGTGAATATTTTAGTGTTGGGCAAGTTACAAAATATTGTGCAGCACTTTCAAAAGAATTGACATCAGAGAAGGAAGAAAGCTTGCCATGGCGTTATGAAGACTTTAAAACTCTGGCTACATAGTAATCATTACATTTATGTCACATGATTAAACAAGCATAATTTTTGAAGATTTAATAAAACATGCAATTATATTCAAGATTCAAGATTCAAGATTTGTTTATTTCTTTCCACTTGCATAAAAAAACATTTCATTCAGTAACAGTAGTAACAAGTTCATCGTAAACTAGCATAAAAACATTAACAATGAAACAGTTATAAAGACTTTAACAAATGTGGAAAAAGAGGTGGTCTGTTAAAAAAGCACAGCTTGTTAAAACACAGATCACCTTTACTGAAACAACATTTTTTTTTAAAGAAGTAGGTTATATTACAGGGGGAGGGGGACTAATACTAATCTAGTTACCTATACAGACTATAAATAAATATCAGATCTACCACTAATTTACAAAATATGGTAGACTAAAAAAGAAAACAGAATAAAGATAATGGAAAAGTAAAGAAATAGGGGAAGGAGGATAATGTACAACACGGGGGGGGGGGGACAATGCTATTCCAGTTACCTATATTGAATACTAATAAAAATCAGATCTATTCACTGTAGGTGTACAGTAGATGAAATTTCAGCTTACGTTTGAAGACAGAAGAGCTTACAGACTGCCTAATAGAACAGTCTAAAGAGTTCCAATACTTTGGTCCAGTATGTGCAAGTGTATTAATCCTAAGCTGAGTTCTAGCTGATGATTGATATAGTTGGCCAATCATAATATATACATAGTGCATTTACGTCACAATCTCTGGTGAGGACAAATAGTATGGCGGCAGCCCGATTCCGGTTGGATCGTGATGAAATGACCTTTTAAATATTGATTTGTCAAAAAATGATGAACAAGATATGAGATTTTCTAAGAGATTTCAAATGACCGATATCATATTTTTTAAATGCGCAATTATTAGTTTTTTACTTTTATTCTCCTTTAACCCATTGCCGACAGGAAAAGTTCTTAAGTCGATTCGACAACTAATAGTCGTTATTTTCCCACATTTTCAACCCCCCCCCCCTTTTTTTTTCTTCTTTTTTAGGGAAGTTCTAAATCAGTATTATCTTTCAAATGCCGTTGGAATTTGACCTTTTCATTATCAGACAGAAATTAGAGATCCATCAATAAAGGTTATACTATACATAATTATACTAGCATACAGAAATTATTAACACATTCTTCAATAAAAAGGAAAGATGTAGAATCCATGAACAAGTACAGCCTCATTAATTAACTGAATTTATTTCTTCTTTTTTTTGCATTATATACGTACATACAAAAATAAGGCAAAAAAGAGAAAAATCAGACATATTTCACATTTAAATCTTTGGTCAATTTTCAGCAGGCAAGAGCAACGTAATCATGGTCCTACATGTTGCGGTAAACCACCATCATGATGGCTTTAAAAAAATGTAATAAACGTAACAAATTCACACTGCTGTATTTCGTATACAAACTGGCAAGTGAGTATACATATAAGGACCATTGTTACATGTAGATACATTTCGCAAATCCATTTGCCATTCATTTATACAGAGAACTGAAAAACTGTCGATTTACCACGCTCTAATGTGTTGGGGCCTTTAGAACTTCTTATAATCGATGCCATTCTGTGGAGTGCATCTTATTACTTCTCCGTGCTTGCTGTCATCCTCCACTAGCTGGATGAAACCCTCCGCTACCATGGAAACTCTGAAGATAAACAGTAAGATTTTTGCAGCCAACATCAAATTCTGTAGAACTTTGCAGAAATTATGAATATGTCATGTATGTCTTATCTGTGAAATTTAAACGGTAGCATATATTGTCCTAGTATTCAAATTATGCAAGCCCAAGACGAAAATCCAATTGAATCCCCATTGAATGTCCCCATTGAATCCCAATTGGCAATTTGGAGTAAATGGTAAGTGAAACAATGGGTACCCATTGAAACCAATTGGCAATCGGTCCCCATTGAAACCAACTGGCAATTGGTTCCAATGGGGACCAATTGCCAATTGGTTTCAATGGGTACGTTGTTTCACTTTCCATGTACTCCAAATTGCCAATGGGTATTGAATTGGGATTCAATGGGGGCATCAGGCGCGGATCCAGGATTTTCCAATAGGGGGGGCCGGAGATTTGAAAAATTGCGCAGACCGTTTTTCAACTCAACATACCAATACTGACAAGGTCATATTAGAAGCACCATATCGGTATAATTTTTTACATTTTCATCGGGGGGGGGGGGGGGGGGGCTGAAGCCTCTTTCCCGAAAAAATAATTTTCTGGTTTCACAATTCGGCTAGTGAGCGAAGCGAGCGAGCACAAATTTGAGGATAATATGTATTTTATGAAAGTGTTATTTATCTCCAAAATATACGAGAAA